TTCAAATTGCCTAACGCAATGGATTTCTCTGGTGATTCAAGCCTTCCCTTCGCATCAGCACAAACAGACCGACCATCACCGCATGAAATACCGATTGGCCAATGGTAGACCTTAATTCTCAAATGAGCTCCACTAAGTTTATCGGCATGGTTATTGTGATAATACTTATTTCGCATAACTTTGTTGTCTTTTTTTTCAGATTATAAAAGCCTCTTTTAAATTCTTATAAATCTTCCGTTTTGTTTTACTTCTTACCATTTGTCCACGCTTCCTCATTCTCATTCTCATTCCTGCTTTATCCTCTCTTTCGTCCAGCTCGTCATTATTTATGTTTTTATTTCCCGTTTACCTCTGTTCATATTATTGTTGGCCACTTTTTCTCTACCATTAGATGCCCCTTCTATGTCGTTCCCCTACTTCACTACCAATCCTTTTTCAACATAATCTCGCACTCTTAAATCATTTCTCTTGCAGATTTCCTACCTCATTGTAGGCGATCTTCATCAAGTACAACCCGATTCATCCGCGAAATTGTCTCGGCTTGACAGCACCGGAGCTTCTTCTACCGGCAAGTCTAGCCCGATCGCTTCTGTAGCATCCACTGAGACTGATGCCTTCTTTCCTGGACTCCCTAGGGCCCTTAGGCCAACGGCAACCGCTAGCCGACGGCTTCGACGTCTGTCCGTTTTCCAGCAACTTAGACTCAGGCCCAATGAAGCGGATGATGTTTCAACCGACCGAATGCAACTGGACAGCCATGACTTCGCGGAGGCCGCTGCTGGCTCTACTGTTTTTCTCGGTTCATTGGCGAATCTTACAGCCATGGGAGATAAGACTAGAGCTCAAGCGCTCAAATCATGGGCAGCAAGTGGCTATAGATCCATCTTCAATAGACGAAGGCCTGCTACTGGAGCGTAAATTTTTGATTTTGTTCTTATCCTATTTTCATTCGTTTTTATCGCGCCGCTATGTTTACCTATGTTCCCCTTTTTTTAACTTTGTTTTTGTTTACATCTTCTTGCATTATTCCCTTATTTTTATATGACGTCGTCATCCCAAATTCGCCCCATACTTCTCTCCTACTTTTTTTCTTTACTTCTTAATCTAG